CACACACACACACACACACACACACACACACACACAAATGCAAAAGAATAAACATAATTTTAAAAAAAGAAAAGGGAAAAAAAAAAACAAAAAGGTTGATATGCAAACCAGTTCTCTGGGTCCATGCAGGTGGGGGTGGACGGGGGGACCTCTACGGAGCACAGACACCCTCCACCCTCTCCGACTGGCCTTTACCGTCTTCTTTGTTTGTTTTTTCMTCATTATTCCCTCATGCTTTGCACAGAACGAGCCACAATCTGAAGAGAAGCCCTGCATTGAACCCTTCCCATTGCTCTTCCCTCCAGAGGTTTCGAGTCCACGTTGACACAGCGAGGGTCCCTCTGGTAGCTCAGTAAGACCACCGAGCTACCTGCCTCCCCCCTCCTTTAATTCCATCACCAYTGCTGCTATTGATGCCTCTGAAAGTGCAGATTTCTGTGGGTAATTACTGTTTTACAACACAAATGGATCTAAATGGAATTTTGTGACACTCTATTGATCCCTCTGGGGCAAATTAGTCTTTTTTTTTTCCACTTGCCGCCACCTTCCCTTGGAGAATAGGGAGCTATAGAGAGATGGGGTGCGGATAAAAGACGGTCACTGCAGCAGAGACAAGTGCAGCGTTCTGCCAAATGAGGCTCAGCAAGCATGTATTATCTTTACCACAACAATCAGGACGATTTTTCTTTATCTGGAAATGTAAAAAGTAGGAAAAATATKATTCTTTATGTGAATCACAAATGATGATATATGTAATCAATAAAACGTTTTGGGCAAAAACAAGCTGAAATAGCAATTTTCTTCCAACCAGGCATTACCCTTTATTACATCAGGTAAAGTGTTATTTTATGCTGTCAAGATGTATAAAAATAATAATTCTGTTCAAATAAAAGATACCCAAATGCAAAAAGTGCTCTGTCCCAGCACATCCCGAAGGCATTCTTTGTTGAAAAACTTGGAGAACTTTAAATTCCAGACCTCTGAATCCCTTCAGCCTATTAAATATTGTTCAGTGATTCACATACTGTACTTTAGTTCTCTTTGCACTTTCAGAAAGCCACTGAACCAATCAGAGCTTAAATATATATGAGAGATAACGAATGTGGAGGTCGTGTTCTTGTGCCAGAGCCAGAAAACTGGAGACAGAAACATTTGTACTGATGGCTTCTGTGGGTTGTTGCCAAGTGGAGACCTCTTCTATCCCCACCAAAAATATGTGCTTGTTAATTTAACACTGAATCATGACTGTGCTATGACTCAACAAACAACCAATCATAAAGTAGATTTAAAAATACTTTCTAAAGTGGAGATTTGCCATCAGATCCAAATCCACAACATTATTCTCTGGAACASAAAACCAACATTTTTACAATTTTAATAAAACTCTAACCTTATCATGATGCATATCAGAATAATAAACGTTTACGCCCGATCGTCTGTAAAGAGTTKAATACTTTTCAGAAATTTATGCTAAGGCAGGGGATTCTGGTGTTATCAGTCCATGAAATGGACGTTATTAGGCATTATCAGTCCCATACAATGGCTTCAGAGGGTCCCTACGGTACCTTCTAGACTTCAGACTGTCCCGACAGTGCCCCCTAGTGGATTAATATATCAATGACAATGAATGTGTAAATTAGCTAAACATATTGTAAKAAATTTTTTGTGTCCGTGTCACTTTCAAGCCCTGGTCCCCTGCTCTCTGATCCGGCACCCTACCCATTGCCCTATTGTGGAAGGCCACAATATACAACTGTTGGAGGGCGGTGTCTTTAGCACTAACCGTGTCATTTGCTCTAAAGTTAACCTTAGTGGCTTTAAGCCTCATATTAACCAGTTTTTTATGCCTCATATTAACCAGTTTTTTATGCCTCATATTAACCAGCTGAAAATCAGAGGCCATTCTATGGGACGGGGAACCTGCTAACCGGCCCAGGCGGGACATTCTGAAGCCATTCTAGGGGACTGATAACACCTAATAACGTCCATATCATGGATGATAACATCCGAAGCAGGTGGCTAAGGAAACATTTTTTACACTACAAATTACAAAGATAGTAAACGGAAGGACTTGGTAAAAAGTTGCATGACTATTTGTTTAAAACTTCCCTCAATTCCACAAACACAAGAAAATAATTTATTAATCTGGACTGTGTGAAAATAAGAAGGCCTTTGATTACAGTCACCTCCGTGTCCAATCACGGCGTGATTAACTGACAGTCTGATTAAAACCAGCTGCTGCTGATTGGAATAACCTGTCATTTTAATCAAAACAATCTCATACGACAGCGGCTGTTGGCTGCCGTTTCATAGAAATCACCCACTGTTGGGTTGCAATTACCTTCCTGATTATTCACCAGAAGCATTCTTATCCAAACACCTGGGGGCTTTTTAAAGATTAAAGACCGCTTGTAGTTTCCGTTTAACACGAAGGGACACTGAAATATTCATATGTCTGTTATAATATTTATGCCAAATCCCGTTTTTAACAGGATTGATTTACTCACTGCTGGTTGCCTCCCTCCTGTCTTGTGTAATGTGTAATTGTCTTTATTTCAGGTTGTGCTAAATATGATTAAAGCTCCATTTTCTTAATGTTTTCAGTTTCATGCGCACAAACCAGCGACTTGTGCTTTGTCCTGCAGTGATCTCATAAATTCTTCTCTTGGGGATTCAGCAATTGCCAATAAATCAATTTCTGTGTTTTAGTGGCATATTAAGGTGCATTTGCTAAAGTGGGTGGCATCAGGAGTGGACTCCAGCTGTTCAGTATTTGCAACAAGACTCAAAATGCATCATGAAGCCGTTCCTTGGCATTATGGTTATTGCACACCAGGGTACATTATCTTTCCATTACATCAGGCAGTTTGATGGAGTTGTACTCTCCGGGCACGTCTAATTTCTGGAGGCACGTCTGGGATTTCTTATAAGTGCTGCCTCCTCTTTGCTGATACCGGTTGATTATGTTGCACATCGAATCAGCAGCATTGGTTCATTGAAGTCTGATTCACGCTGCAGAATGCACCGATTCTGGTGCAGGAACAGTTCACCAGTTGAGTCTCCATTTAACTGGGTTTTTCCGCAGACATGTTTTTATGTTGCCCGCAGGGTGTTCTCTTCTGTTGCTTCCAATGCACCAAAAAAGGAAAACACATTACCCACATCTGCCTCATCTGCAACAAATGGTTAAATCTATGACAAATGTTATTTCATCACTGAACTAGTTTTTCTTGTGTGAGTCAAAGTCATTTTTGGTCTGACATTGCCAAGTCCTGTAAGAAGAGTAATTGGATTTCCAGCATAAACGAAAATCTCTTTTCTCTCCCAGCCCTGCTTTGGTAATTGAGGTTAAATGAAATGGTCAGCCGTCCAATAAACCCTCAGTGGGTGTTCAGCAGTGGGTGTGTGCAGGACGGAGAAGCTCTGCTTCACATTCTTTGTGTCAAAACTTGCATTTAAACAACTATTAAAATGGTCAATTCATACTTGTGCCAAAGCACAGTTGCACCAATAGAGTACACGAGCTGCACTCATGCATTATGAGTAGGGATGGGTACCTTTGGTATTTGAATTGATTCAGTACCAATATCCAGTACCTGGGAATCGGTACTTAACGGTACCCATTTTTTGTACTTGGTGTGTGTTGTTTTTTTTAAATAATAAACTTTTCTTTTTTAACATATTTCTCAATATTATAAAATTAACAAATATCAAGACAACATACAACTCTGTATTGTAACATCAGTTGTGTAACTTATTTCTTTAAAGTGAAAACTCTTGAAAACAACAAGACTGTTTTGTCTTATTGCACAAATTAAAATCCAGCTCCACGTGTTTCTATTGATGTCATTTCCCCGCTAGAAAACTTGTGTGATGGATCCATGGAAGGCAAATAAGTTTAAGTCAAATAAGAAAGAGGGTGGAGTTAAAATAAATAAAATGTATTCAAGCTACGTTTTGAGCATCCAAAACGCGTCCAACACTTCAAGTTATCTGCTTGTGCTTTTTCAGGTCAGATGCATTCGGACTGTCGGGAAGTGCCTCCATTGTTTTCCTCTGCCAGCCTCTGTTTAATGGCGGATGAAATAAAGAAAGTGGTGGTACTTTATTTACATTGAGCAAGCGAACTTCGTGTTCACAAGATAATTAATCCACCAGATAATTAATCCACCAGATAATTCAGAGGTGGTCTGTTTGACGAGTTTAGGAGCTGCAAGGCTTTCATGCTACGTTCAGACCGAGCTGTTTACTGAACCAGTGGCTGTTGACGTCATTCCGCTCTTACGCGACGCTGCGTTCAGGGCAAACATGGAAAACTCACAACTCTTACGCCAATACAGTCGCAATGATGCATTTAGGTACCGGAACATGGTACCGTTTGATGTTACGTGAATAGATTCTCGGTTGTACCGACAGAATTCGGTCTGTACTTAAAAGTATCAAATTCAGTACCCATCCCTAAGTATGGGTGTCAAATGGTAAAAAGAAAAAGCTTGGTGTTGCGTGATTTGAGCTGAAAACTGTTTGTGCAAACTGACCAAACATCTTCTGCATCCACATCGCACTCTGCTCCAAACTGGCAAATGTCGCAGGTGGACGTCTCCTTCTGCCCGGTCTCCGCTGAACCTTCTCCTCCTAAAAGTGACAGAAAAAACAAACAAAAAATACCATCAGTCTCAGATACAACTGGTTTCTAGCTTTCACCCAGTTATTCCCTTAGATTAATTCTGAAAAACAAATTCATCATCTTGGTTATGCATCTCCTGTGACAACAAACAGCAGAGGTGCATTTACATTTCCCTCATATCCCAACCAAAACGCCACCTTCATCTGCTCGCCCCGTTTCTCCTCCACTCTCTCACTTTACTCTCATCTATCACTCTCAAATCCCCGCTGATCTTTCCTGAGTCCCTCTTTTATTTCATGGTGCTGATTTTCTCGTGCCGCGAGTGTGGCGGCTCCTCGGCGGCGGTTGTGGGGGACCGGCGTCAGACTTATTGCGGCTTAGGGACCTCGCAGGTGCGTATCGCGCCTCGTGAGTGGCCGACGGGGAGAAGAGCGGAGGAATAAAAAGCAATCTGGCCAATCTCAAATTGCGTCCTCCAACCACAGAGGACTCCTCCAGACTATTTCGCTTCTACCCCCCACCACCACCGCCCCTCTCGGCCCTTCTCTCTATTAGACAAGCTCTATTTTTAAACTTACTTGGGCCCATGAGAGTAACTTTGTAAAAGAAGATGAAGAGGAGGAACTTGGCATCATTTCCCCACGTCTTTAATATCCCCAACCACGGCCACCATGCATTGCTCCCTCGTGTCACCTCTTTCATTTTCCTTTCGGCAACTTTTTGTTATTTCTTGTGATCCCTTGTGGCGTGTTGGATTGAACTGGGATAAACTCCGATGGTAGTTCAACCTAATTTCCCACTTTCAGGCTTAAAGTTCAGTCAAACACTTTGTTTTAAGGTCAAAGTCTGTAGTTTATTTTATTTTTTTATTTAGTGTTGAATGTAGTCAGCAAACTCTGGATTTCTTTGCTTTTGAGTAATCCCAACAGCTTTCAATAATCTCTTCCGAGTTCAAAACCACAATGCATTCAAGAGTGAGTAGTTCCTTTTGAACGGCCTCCTCGCTCCTGGTGTTTTTTGCTTTTTCTTCTTTTTGAAGCTGACGTTTGATGTTTGATGCTGCAGGTGCTGGAGAGCAGCCACAGCAGCATCATCCTTCAGTCATGCAGAACGACGGACGTTTTGTTCTCTCGGTTTTACATGCGGGCCAGATTACAGGACAAGAAGCAGCATTCGCACAAATCTAATCAGTGGAGCTTGAATGTCAAAACTTCCCTGAGTTCATGGCACCATTTTTAGCATGTGTGTACAATTTCAGCATCTACCCGATTTAACAGTAAATGATAATAATAATAATAATTTAAATAAAGACCTTTATCTTAAGTCACATAACTAACGAGTGGAAGTTAATGTGTGATCCCTTCAATTTTCACATTAGTTATCCATCTARCGGAACGCCCCCATGCTGTTTTTGTTTCGTTTTATTTTGAAAGGCTGTTCTGTGTTTCTGTTCAACCTGTGTCCATGTTCAATGCATCAAAATGGACGTCTAGGCCCTCCTCTTTTGATTGACACCTCATTTGACTAACTAGGTTCAAGTATCGGCTGTCCAGAGCAAATAATATTTGAGAAGTGACCAACTTTCGGTTTCCGTCATCCTGAGTTTGATTGACCGTAGAATCGGCCAGTCAGCTCCGAGCTTCGTTCTGATGCCACAGCTGTGTAGCCAATCACCGTACCTTTCATTTGGTATATAGTTTGAGGGGGTGGGAACTTTGTTTAGTGACGCATAAGCCAAACACAGAGATGGTCGCAGTTTTTACGCGGATGCCTGCATCTAGTGGAGAAAGCTATGCTCACAGGAAAAACGTTTTTTTTCCATTGTTTTTTGGCCAGTTAGCTGAGTAAACATGCTGAAAAGATGAAAATATATTTGTTATTAAGTGTTTCGAGTGCTTCAAGACATGGAAGAGTGATRTTAATGGCCAGGAGAAGTACAAATGTTCAGATAAAAACACTTCCAGTCGGCCATTTTGAATAGCTAATTTCGTCATATTTGAGGACAAATATGCATCAAAAGTAAGGGAAAAACAAATATTTTTTTCACAACAATACAGCAAGAAACACTCAGGAAGGAAACACAAAGATGCCCTTATTAGTAATACTATGGCCAAACATCTGAGCTGTGTTTATGATGGTTGTAAATTTGTGAAGAATTAGGAACGAAGTCTGCAGCGATGAGTAGCTGATAGGTAAGGTCAAAACGTCAACGTTGGGCTTTAAAGATTTAATAGTGGTCTGATTCTAATGTGCAYGGCCTTGATCCGTGGAAATCACAGAGAGCTGTGTGCCTTTGGGTTAATGTTTGAAGCTGTGTGACTTATTGAAAGTAATTTAATGAATTCATTCCGATAAAAGGTCTTTTTTATGAGCAGAGTCACATAGAGCAGTCTGAATATTTACAACAAATGAACACAAACATCCCCACGCAGATATTCAGAACCAGTCTGCTAACAGAATACATTTACAAAAAAGTTCACGTTGCATTACATTACAAAATTATTCTAACCTTTAGAGAATAAATTACTTGGTTTACATTTTAGCTGAAAGAGTTTCTCAACATAAAGGTACATGACACTTTAAATACTGCTGGCTCTAGTAGCACTAATAGATCAGAGAACCTGCCAGCGTAGAGGTGCACGAGCTGGATTGCAGTTTAGCAAGCATGTAAAAATGGWTTTATCAGAAATTCTCCTCGCATGAAGCAGCCGCCTGGTTCGGTGGTCACTTAGTCACAAACAATCAATTCAGTGAGACTGAAACTGAAAATTTTCCCATTTTCTCGTGATTTTGAGTCACCACCTCCGTCACTATCAGTCACCCAGAGAGATACTGACGTCCGTCAAATGTGATTGAATTTCAGGAGCAGAATCTGGACACACACAAGTTTCTAGCTGCTCTTGAATGTAAGAGATCAATAAATAGCATCAGAATAGCAAAACCTTGTCCTCCATGTTGGTTTACCCTTTAAACTGTTGTCAGTGTTTAATTGACTGATAAAATATTAATTACTAGAAGATATTTTAAGACTTTTATGAGTTGAATTTTAAAAACACCTTCTTCTGAAACTCCCTACTACAATAAAGTCTTGTAAAGTCCATGGTAAACAAAGTAACTTTTGCTATTATTATTATTATTTATAAATTATGCTGTGTATAACTGTATTTTGTTAGTAAGTTAATAACTTCATGACCCGTCAATACATCCAATTGTATAAAAATTAGCAAATCTTTCCTCTAAATCAGTGATCCCCTACCAGGGGTACACATACCCCTGGGGGTATGCAAAGCATATTACAGGGGGTATGTGGAAAAATTTCCCATTTGTGTAAAAAATAAATAAATATAGGACTGAGATATGTAGGGCTCTATGATTTCCGCATTGTGGAAAATGCAAATGGAACTAGACATGGGTTTTTACGATGTAAAAACAAGTGTGCATTGCCACGTAGCATGTCWTTGCCTGCAGCATTGGACTTGCAGAATGAACTTTGACCAAGTTCAAATGTGTTTTCTACACCAGCTTGTGCATGTCACGTCAGCAGGTGTTTATAATTAAGGTAATTGTGTGACAGCCGGGTTTTGAACCCTGATCTCCCACATGAAAGTCCATGACATAGACCATTAGACCAATGGAGCTGTGGCAGAAGG